GGGGCCGCGCTGGGTTTTGGGGGCAGCATCTCTGGCCGCAGCATCTCKGGCCGTGCGGCCGCGCTGGCTCGGGCGAAGCAGCGCAGGTTCCCGGTGCGCAGCGCGCACTGCACCGGCCACAGCACGATACAGAAGAGGATAATCACCAGCGCCGCCAGCAGCACCACGCGTTTCCAATCGTCACACAGCTCACAGCGCGACAACCGCGCCGCCAGCCCGTCCGGAGCCACCTCGGCGCTGTCCGGTTTGCTCATGGCCACATCGATGGACACGCACGAGTCCGGATCCTCGGGGTCAGCCGAGGCGCGGCGGCAGCAGAGCCGCGTCCCCTCCATCCAGAGCGCTTTTTCGCTCTGCAGCTCGGGCGGCAGCGTGGCCAGCAGCTCCCGGCTGGTGCGGAGCGCCGGGGCTCCCTCGCGGGGCAGAGCGGTCAGCTGGCGACAAAACGGACACGGCAGCATCTCGGCCGGTTGCTCCGGCCGCAGCCCCGCGCTCAGCCGAGCCACGCACTCCAAGCAAAAAACATGCGAGCACTGCAGCAATTTGGGCGTTTTGAAGGTGTTGTCGTAGGTGTTGAAGCAGATGGAGCACTCGACGGGTGAGGCGGGTTTGGGCGAGCATGGGGAGCCTTTTGGCGAGCACGGRGAGCCCGTGGGCGAGCGGCCGCCTTTCCTGCGGCCATCGGTGGSAGAGGTGACCGAGATGGGGCTGATCGGAACGGCGATCTCAACCGGGGAGGTGGGAGAAGGGCTGGACGGGGATTCGGGGGTGCTGGAGCGCCAGAGCTGAGGGAAGCAGGACATGATGGAGCCGCCGGACAGCAGCCGGGCACGGGGAGAGTCTGGAAAGAGAGAGGAAAAACAAAAAAAAAATTATAAAAATTTGTTGGGGAAAAGGGCGGGGACGCCGCCGGCAGCGCTGGGATCCGCCCCGTAAATTAAAGGAGGAATTTGGGATTTCCGCCGGAGCTCCGGAGGGGAAACCGCGGGAATTCACCGGGAGATCCCGCACCGGGGACACCGCGGGGACGGACCGGAGCGCCCTTCCCCGCTTTTTTTTGGGTTTTTTTATCCCTTTCTTTGGGGGAAGTTCAGAAAAAAAATCCCCCGGGGACGGACTGGACTCGTGCTCCTCGGT